CTAGGAAACTTTAAATAGTCAACAGTTCAAGATTTTTTTTTTTTTTGGAGAGGTTTCTATAATCTTATGAAAAGAGTATTTCTTAAGACCATTTTATATCCTTATCTGTATTTAAAGTTCTCTTTCTTGTGGTGTAGTCTTTCCACATGCTGATCTAACTCTGTGGTGTGTAGCAATTAACATACCCACATAACAGGAGATTGCCAGAACTAACATTCAGTCCCAGGCAGGCAGCTGGGCAAAGAGTCGTGTAATTCAGCAAAATGAAATCATGTTGTTTTGGTCAACAAGCTTTATGAACTTCTCCTTTACAGTATAAAAGCTATGTTTACACTGTACTGTAGTATATTGTAATTGTCACTGTTGTTAGGTATTGTCAAGTCAGTTCCAATTCACAGCGACTCCATATAGGGATTCTGAGAAGCTGGTGGGTGTGACCTGCTGACCTTGCGATTCACAGTCCAGTGCTGATCCTACAGTGCCACACCAGGAATCCAAGTGTGTAATGGTGGTGGTAGTTATGTGCCATGGAGTCAGTTCCAACTCATAGTGACCCTGTACAGGATTTCCAAGGCTGTAAGTCGAGCAGAAAGCCTCATCTTTCTCCCGCGGAACAGCTGGTAGTTTCGAACTGCTGACCTTAAGGTTCGCAGCCAGATTTGTAACCACTACGCTACCAGAGCTCCTTAAGTGCACAATAGCACTACGAAAAATAATTATTTTGAGAATTAGCAAAATGTGACATAGAGACATGAAGTGAGCACATGTTGGAAACATAGCACCAATATTTTAACATAGGGTTGCTATAAATCTTCAATTTGTAAAATGCAGTATCTGTGAAGTGCAATAAAGTGAAGCACAGGAAAGTGAGGCATGCCTGTTTTCATTTTTAATTCCTTATTCAATGCTGCTGAGCTGTGGTGAATTATTTGGTATGGCTAGTGGATCTGGGTAGGAGAAGGTGGGGGAAGATGGTGAAAGGATTATATTATTAAGTTGTGATTCGCAGGGTTAATTGTGATTGTAAAAACCTGGACATCTAATGAGAAGATTGGTCAATTCTGCCAGCCTGCTGGGTATAAGCTGAGCCATCTCAGCCGCGTTATAAGAAGAACCAGGAATGGAACACGTCTATTGAAATACCTCGATCCAGGGATGGATAGCTGTGGCACCAGAGACGTGGCAGAGGTGAACCAGCAGCAAAGGCAAGAGCCAGATCACGAGCACAAGACAGAGCAGCGGGTTTCCCGGCCCATGGAGCTAGTAGAGCTGAGTACCTTTAGACAGGAGGCTCATTTGCGGAGAAAGGTACCGGTCAGCATTTAATCTGGGAGCTAGTGTGCTGGTTCACAGAGCTAGAGCTAAACACAGTCAGATTAAGGTTTATGACAGATTAGAGTCCCCTTTGGGTGCTTATCAGCAGCCCTAAAAGACCTTTGTTAACATTGCCCAAGTAGGACAGAGGTGTGCCTGTGGGCATGGCTAAGAAGAGGTGCTGTGGATCAAAGAACTGTATCCTTAAGATTTCGGATCCTGAAATGCAACCTGTTAACTTTTCTAATAAACTGCATAATCGTTGAGTGTGGTTTGTGATTTCTATGTGGCCACTGCAATGACGTACCCATCTGAGAAGTGAGGGTTCTGGGAAGGATGGTTGGTTGGTATCAGAATTGATAAAGGTTGACAGGTAGAGAGGCATGTTTGGCTTCAGTCTCATAGAAATTGGCCTTGGGTTAAAGTTGGCAGATTCTCGTCATCCACCCCCGTCCCATGAGAGGAAGTCAGAGGTGGCCTTTCTGTCCTTTGTATAGCTGTTGTTGTTAAGTGATGTCCAATCAGTTCCAGCTCATAGTGACTCTGCATAGGGTTCCAAGGCGTGACTGGTGGGTTTGAACCACTGGCCCTGTCGTTAGAAGTTCAGTGCTTATTCTACAGTGCCACAGCAGGACTCAAAAGTAGCACTCCGCTCTTCTCCACTGATGGTTCCAGGGACCTCCGCTCCTAGACTGAAAAGTCAATCACCCACCTCCTTTTGTTACAAAATGTCTACCTTTACATTTCCAATACTCAGTCAGCCCTGATAGTAATTATTCACTATTGTACCACATGAGTGCTATCCACATCTCCTTTCATCAGTCCAGCCCAGACAGATTGAATACTGTTGGGAGATTCTACCTTCCTCCATGCCCTCTGAATCTAGGCTCCCTCTTAAAGCTTGTAAGCCAGTCACTTCTTGCCTTTGTAGCACCCCCCCCCCTCCCATTTTGGGTAGCCAATGTCCAAGTTGCCCATCCCTGTCTACTCTGGGTATTGAGGGGGTGAGAATGATCTTTGCTGCAAAGATTTGTTCCCTCTTTTGAGCTACTGCATCCATAGGTGTAGGTCAAGTTCATCAAACTGTATCAGATTACTCTTTTTTTCCTCTTCTTTCTTCTAGTTAAATTCTGATCATCCAGCCATTGAAGCCAGGTCAAGTGGGTATTATTTTGATACTTTGATACTTATTAACTGGACTCTTCACTCTCCACTCTAATCCTCTGTGGCTATATCACTGACTCTGGGCCCTAGCGTCCCCAGTTCTTGCCAAACCGCTGGCCAACCAGGTCTCCACCCAGGTTCATAGGAGTCTACTGAACGTGGTTGGACTTAGCTCGAAGTTTCATTGCTGTTTTTCCCTCACTTCCCCTTGTCGGTGAACAATGTGGTCACCAGTCAGGGCACACATTTGCTCGTGTATTCCTACTGAGTCTTAAGTCTTGGAAGGGAGTTTGCCCTGAGGGGACCCACGTGTCTGTCATTTTTACTGAAGCTTCATGTAGACATGTTTGATAGGATTATTTACCATGTGATTGAACTCAATCTCTAGACAGGCTCACCTCCCTGGAGGCCAGCCTTTCACATGGTTAGTCCTTCTGGTGTGCACAGCCCCAAATCAGTATTTCATTAGCATAACCATCAGGTGTCCTCTAAGAGGCCTGCCATGAATACCAACTTCATGAATAATAAAGATAATCCGATTACTCAAGAAATTTCAAAGGCTTGGAGATTACTGCCAGGAACTGGGACAAATGCTAGCCAATTTTTTTTTTTTTTTTTTTTTTATTACACAGGTTTAGAGGTTATCTCCCATAAACCTGGGACAAAGGACAACAAAACGCAATTGTGCACCTCGTGAAGCTAATGTGACACAGACGGAATAACATATGTTGCAATGCAGAGTTTTGTAAAAGCCTTTATAAGAATATCTGGTGGCACCAATCAATGCTTTAAATACACTAATCCTCGACTAGCTATGTCATTGCTGGGGCAGAGCAGCAGTGTCACAGCTATATCATTACATTATGGAAATATTAAGTCTATGAAGGTATCTGTCTAATTCATTGTGGCACTATTTATAAGAGCAAAACTCTGAAAACAAGTGGTAAACTGTGGCTGCCCCCATGAAGAGAAACTTGAAATGAAGATATTCCTTTTTTGTAACATACATACACAGCTTCCCATCTGCAAATATATCCTTATATTATCTAGCTTAATAGAGTCCTGTTGTGGCACTGTATGATAAGCACTAGACTGCTAACCGCAAGGTCAGTGGTTCAAACCCACCACTCGCTCCTCAGAAACCCTATATGAGGTCACTATCAGTTGGAATTGACTGGATGGCAGTTAACATCTAGCTTAATCCAGATATTTGAAAAAAAAAAAACTGAACAGGTGCTATCTGGGTGGGGAGATAAAGGTGCAATCTGACAAACGGTTCTGATTCTCCTGGAATCTAGATTGCTGGGTTCAGGAGGTGAGCCACCCTGTCATCTGCTCTTAGGAGTCCTTTTGATCTCTGTACTTTAAGGAATTGTTTTCCTAAAGTCACACGTTCACGTCAAACACGTTCAAGCAGTTTAGCAGAGACCGATCTGTGTGCAGCCAGCTTCCAGGAGCAGGAACCCCAGGTCTGACTGGAAAATGTGAGGCATGTAGCAACTGTTTCTCCAATTGTCTGAAACTTTGAATGTGTTTTGACATTATTGCCTGAGAAATTAACATGACAATGACAAATATACAACCTGCTTTAACTGTCTGATACTTTTATTTTATGTATCCAATCACAATATAAGGAGATCTGGTAGCGTACAGTGGTTACAAGTCAGGCTGCCAAATTCAAGGTCAGCAGTTTGAAACTACCAGCCGAAAGTTCCGCAGGCGCAAGATGAGGCTTTCTGCTCCTGTAAACATTTACAGCCTCGGACACTCTACTCAGGGTCCCTGAGTCGGAACTGACTCCACAGTAACTACTACCACCACTCACAATATATTCTGTTAGACTTATGTCATTTAATTTGATCTTTAACTTGCTCCTTTGGCCCCAAAAACAAACCAAGATAAATTTTATAATTGTATTTATTTTCTCCTAGAAGGTTCATGATTAATTTTGGTTTTCTAATGTAAACATACATGGTTTTAAAATTGTATAAAACTGTGATCTTCAGAATTAACTAGCAAGATAGCATACATGTGAAATCACTATTTCTATTACTGACAATTATTTTATACACAAAAATTATTTCAGTTGAAAGAAAACTATATAAGAAATATATCTTACACATTTACAGTTTTAACTTTTGTAACCTCATTTAAAATATTTCTTCTTCAAAACAATATTCTTCGGCATAGGATGCTTAGATAAGTATCTAACAAGTAATTAGTATGTACATAGGTGGTTGTGAAAAATTGCCTTCAATTCTACTATAGTCTGTTCTAAAGGTAAAAGATTCCCTTTTATAAAGCATTTTAACATTTCTTCTCACCATCTACCAAGCAGCAATGTTATTTAATTTAAAATGACAAACCCAATGATAGTTAGTCATAAACACATCTTTCAGAAGTATTTTTTAAAAGTTATTACATAAAAATATTTATTTTATTTAAATTACATGATAGCAACATTTTCTTGATCAAATTTGTTCTTGAACAAATTAGTAAGAATCTTCAGAGAAACAAAAAACCTATTCATCTTTAATACAGGAGATTTTATCCTTGGATTTATTCAGCATCTTTATATCATCCAACAGATTTTTGGGTGTTATAATATGCGTAGAACCTGGTAGAGGGAAAAGATAATTTTTTAGTGACAGTTAAATCAATTTTTCCTTGGCATGGTATGTGTCTTGTTCTTCAACTATGCAAAGTGCAGTGGCTTGGGAAAATTTAAACACACTCAGTAATTCTTCAGAAACACTGTCTATTCACAGTACTTTGTCTCTACTTTGTGCTATGTATTAGTACAATCAAGAGCAAAATTGGGGATTACAGCAACATGAGATAACAGAAAAGTCACTGTTTAATCACAGAGAACAGTTAAGCAATGCTCCAGAGACTTGATACACTGATCCTGAATCTCTGTGGGTCAGAAGAAAACTGCAGTAATGGAGCGATTTTCCTGTCACTGGCTTCAATTGAAATTCTTAAAACTAAATCCTATGTCGTCCATGTCAAATCAGGTCTACACCCACAATCTTAATTTCAAGCTATTTCTGAAATAGAAATATGTTTGAGGAACTAAAAAGTATTCAGTGGTAAGAGGAACAAAGCACAGAATGTAGTATTTGAAAGGAACATGCTCATTTAAAAAAAAATCAGAATATTTAAAAATAAGTTATCTAGCAGGAAAAAATTCTGGTACTCTGTGTTTTTAAAAGTGTTTTGGAATTAGCAATTTAGTTCAAAATGTAAAAGACAAGATCAATTTCTATATTTATATTTTTGCATTTAGAGTTTGTTTTTAAAAAACAGGAAAAAGGAAAACAAAAATCTTACCAATAATTACTTCGCAGGATTTATGTGCCTGAGAAACTTCATAAGCACAGCGCATTTCAGAATATGTAATTCCTCCAATTACAAAAATAATCAGCTTTGACCCATTTTTTCGGTCCTCTAAGTAATTAGTTCTGGGTTTCTGGCGAGCACTAACAATTAAAAAACACAAATACATTAAAAATAGTTCCAAAGTCATACTGCTTATAGATATTTTAAAATGTCTAACTTAACCAAATTAAAACTGGGCACCAATTATATTGATCTTAAACAAATGACTTAACTGTGGAATGCATTGCTGTTAAGTGCTATAGAGTCAATTCCAACTCATAGCGACCCTTTAAAGGGCTTCCCAGGAGTGACTGGTGGGTTTGAACTGCTGATGCTGCGGTTTAGCAGTCCAGTGAATATACTACAGTGACACAGAACAAAAAGCATAACTAGGTTCCTAGATTCTGAAAAAACTCCCTCTAAAAAACACCTAGAAATAATGGTAAAAATCAGAATGCTTAAAAAATTCATTTATAAGGAGTTGAAAGCAAATCTCCAGCAACCAAGAATAAAAAGAAAGCTGAAAACTATAGCAGTAAGTTAAACTGAGACTTTAGGCAGCCTGTGAAGTGCTTTGTAATCCTAGTAAACAGGGTGCTTATATAAGCAAAGAAGACAAAGTCTTAGGTAGTGTCCAAGATAGAGATTAGGAACTGATACCCCTTCATAGGTTAGGACATTCAAAGAAAGGTAAAGGAGCATGACAAAGAAGCTTCTCCCCTAACAATTCTGAGTTGCAGATTTGTTTGCCCTCATAGGAGCTTGGGGTTCTCATTTATACTACCTTCATGATCTCAGAAAACCTAAGCTGGGAAATTACCAACTGAAGATAGCAGTCTCTAGAGTCTGGCAAAAGGAAAGCCTCTCTGAAGGGAACGACTCGCAACCCTGGCTACCAAAGTGAACTCCGAATCCAAAACTATAAAACAAATGAAGTAGTTAAGAGTCTACAGAAATATAAAGCACCAGAATGTAAAAAAAAATTCAAAGAATATCAGATATTGAAATGATTAGATAGAGACTATAAATTATGTTTAAGACAATCAAAATCAAGGGCAATAAGGTAGGATATAAAACATGGCAAAACAAGTAGAACTTCTGAAATAGAAAATAAAGTTACTATAATAAAAACCTCACAATAGTTGATTTACAAGGGGTCTTCACAATGTTCATGGCAAATGAGTATTGCAAAAAAATTATACATGGATTTAAAAATCTTTTTGCACCAAAATAAAACTCTTGACTTGTTACAACATGTCTTAACAGGATCTAGTTTGAGGCACTAAGAAGGGTAAGTTTGAAAACGGCCCCTATTAGAACAATATGAATTTTGCTAAAACTGAAGCAAGAACAAACAACAAGTTTATGGTGAAGCTTGGGTGAAAGAATGCTGAAATCCCTGATGCTTTATGCAATGTTCATGGGAACAGCACCCCAAAGAAATGGGCAGTTTACAAATGGAGAATTCGTTTTAAGAAGGGATGAGCAGATATTGATGATGCAGCCAGGAGCAATAGACTAGCCACATAAATTTGTGAAGAAACAATTTTGTCATGGCCTAAATGAAGAGGACTGACAACTAACAGCATAAACAAAAGCCAATACCATTGTTGTTAATGGTGGTTATGTGTTGTGGAGTCAGTTCCAGCTCATAGCGACCCTGCACAGGGTTTCCGAGGCTGTAAATCTTTACGGGAGCAGAAAGCCTCATCTTTCTCCTGCAGAACAACTGGTAGTTTCAAATTGCCGACCTTGAGGTTAGCAGCCCAATTCGTAACCACTATGCTACCAGAGCTCCTCAAGCATGGTCAAATTGGTTCTTACTCATAGTGACCCTATATAGAGTTTTCCAAGGAGCAGCTGGTGGATTTGACCTGCCGACCTTGTGGTTCAAACTGACCTTGTGGTCTGGTGCTTATTTTACATGACCACACCAGGACTTTAGCCAATACCACAAACACCTCAAACTGGTTCAGCTTACGTGATTGTGACTGAAAAAGTTGAGCAAACTTTCTTCTCAATGGGTGCCAAAACTGTTGTGCCCATGTCAAACTACAGACAAAAGCAGAGCTTTCATGGAAATATTAAACCAGTGGTATCAAGATTCTGAAGCATTTCTTTCAAGAACTGGAACATGATTTTACCAGTCCGATCCTGAAGACAAAGCACCATCAATGCAATGACTATCAAGAGGTGGAAGTGGTTCAGTCAAAGCAAAAGAGGGCCAGTCAAGAGCAAAGGACATGGCAACAGTTTTTTTGGATGCTCCAAGAATTTTGCTTCTTGACTTTCTGGAGGGATTACGAATGATATAACCTGTTTATTAGGAGAGTGTTTTGAGAAAGTTCACCAAACTTTAGTAAAAAAAATCTTTGGGAATCCTTTACCAAAGAGCCTTCTCCACCATGGCAATCTCCTGACCATCCCTCTCACTAAACAAGGGCAATTTGCTAAGAGCTTTGATGCAAAATCATTATGAATCCACCTTACAGTCCTGGTATGCCTTGTTTTTGTTCCCTGACCTTAAAAAAAAATCCTTAAAGAGCACCCATTTTTCTTCATTTAATCATGCAAAAGAAGCTGTATTAACCTGGCTAAATTCCCAGGACCTTCAATTCTTTAGGATTGGACTAAATGGCTGGTATTGTTGCTTAAACTTGATGGAGTTCATGTTGAGAAAAGTTTATATATTTTATTGTTTAACTCAATTTTTCCATGAACCTTTTTTGAAGACCCCTCATAGCACACAAGACACATTTTTAAATGAGAATTAACTATATCTGAAGAATTTTTTTCCAGAATTAAATACAAAATGTCAAAAGAATAAAACACTTGAAAGATTAAGAGACACTAAAGATAGAATGAGAAATTCCAATAAAAGATTCAGAAGTGGCAATAGCTGAAGAATTCTAAAAGACAGGAATACAGCTGTGTAGACTTGGGATTGGTTCTAGGACTCCCCATGAATAACAAAATCCATAGATGCTCAAGTCCCTTATATAAAATGGTATAGTATTTGCATATAACTTATACCCTTTCTTCCATATACTTTAAATCACCTCTAGATTACTTACAGTACCTAACACAAGGTAAATGCTAAGTAAACAGCACTTTAAACTCTCCCTTAGTTTTTAATGATTTCCTTGTTTTTTATATCCCCTACTGTACCCCGAATATTTTCAATCCACAGTTGTTTGAATTCATGGATGGAGGGCCACAGAAATAAAATAAAATTTAAGAAAAACAAATGGAAGTAAATGCTTACACAGATATAGCATACAGAATGTACAAAACACCAAAGACCTAAAGCAATCAGAAAGGCAAATTACCTACTAACTCATACAGATAAGTATGCATGTATGCGTTGATATCCACACCTTTCTGAAGACCAAAACAGAACCTTATAAAAAGCAAGATACCACTACAGTGTTGAGTGAACATAAATGTGAGCCTGGAAAATCATAGCTGACTAAAACGATCTTTATGAACAAGGACAAAATGAAGTTATTTTCAGACAAACAAAACCATAAAGACTTTTCCACCAAGAGAGCCTCACAGCAGGACTTCTGAAGGGATATATCTCAGGAAGAAGGAATCTGAGCCCACAGAGAAGGGAATTCAAGAACGAGTAGTGAGCATTGTAACTGGCAAATACGCAGATACAACAATAATGTTGATTATTAATTTGAGAAGTAAAAACACAAAGTGAAAAATAAGGTTTCACAATAAACATTTAAGGAGGTATGGTTTGAATTAAATTTTTCTAAGGTTTTATATTTTCAAAAAAAAAAAAGGCAGAGATACTAATTAACCTTAGACTTTACTGCATCAATTATGCATGTTAAAAATTTAAGGAAAACTGCTATAAGAATAAAAGTAGAATACATAACTTCCAAACTAGCAAAAATTAAACTAAAGACTAAGTCCTTAGTTCAAGAGAAGGATCTTATGAGAAACACTCAAATATATGCAATGGGACTTCCAAAAATTAGTGGAAAAATAAGTTTCAAAGATTAATTTTTCTATGAACTTTCTGAAGCCTCCTTGCATATACAAGAATGCTTACTGCATATGATTTGTAATGGTGCCAATTTCACATAATTGAAAATTCTATTATGTAGAAAACAGATGATAATCATATAAGTATATAGTATTTTCAATAACTTCATATGCATGCGAAAGCTGGACAGTGAATAAGGAAGAGTGTAGAAGAATTGATGCCTTTGAATTATGGTGTTGGAAGAGAATACTAAAAGTGCCATGGACTGCCAAAAGAACCAATAGATCTGTTTTGGATGAAGTGCAGCCAGAGTACTCCTTAGAGGCCAAGATGGCCAAACTTCATCTCTCATACTTCGGACATATTGTCAGGAGGGAACAATCGCTGGAGAAGGACATCATGTTTGGTAAGATGGAGGGTCAGAGAAAAAGAGGAAGACCCCCAACGAGATGGACTGGCCAGGTGGCAGCATCGGTGGACTCAAGTGTGGCAACAGCAGTGAGGTTGGCCCAGGATCGGATGTGGTTTCGTTCTGCTGTGCAATAAGGTCGCTATGAGTCGGTACCGACTCGATGGCACCTAACAACAACATATACCAACTGTCAGCAAAAATTAACTAACAGTTACATGTATCAACTTGAGATACATTTCACAAATTTATCTTTTTGAAGGGAACTTCAAAAAGTTCATGGAAAAATAGAATTATAAAATAGTGGAATTTTCCCATGCATTTTTTTTCAAGCCCCCTTTATGATGCTGAGGTAGAGGGTAAGGGGGAAAGCAAAGTACAAAAGAATGCATACAACATGGTGCCATTTATATTAAGTTCAAAAACTAACACTCAAAAAGATTTATGGTATTGGTGGAATAAGATGGTCATGTAATTCTTCTCCAAGAAAACAAATATAAGCCAGGATGAAATTGTCAAAAACTACCATTTCAGGTCACTGTAAATGGACCACAGGCAGACCACAAAATGAGAAGCATTTACACTTGAATATCTGCTAGAATGGGAGTGTGGTGGCTCTAAGGATAAGCACTGAACTGCTAACAACAAGGTTAGTGGTTTGAGCCCACCAACTCGCTCCATGGCAGAAAGATGTAGCTTTACTGCTCCTATAAAGATTTGAAGCCTCAGGAATCCTATATAGGGTTGCTATGAGTCGGAACTGACTTGATGGCACTTACCAATAATCCGCTAGAATACCAGGTAATAATGGTGGTGGTAAATATGTAGCCTGTAAGTCTGTAGCTATACCCACTATCTCCCAAGAGGTTAGCTGAAAACCTGCAGTTTTGCTGGTTAAAAATAGTGAACCAGGTTCAGAGTAATAGGAGAAACCTGAAGCTTTGGCAGCCTGAGGCCCAGATTTGATTCTGGAAATCCTGAAAGAAAGTTGACAAACTTCTTGGTCAACTGCTAAAATGCATAGAAGAGGGGACCTGAGAAAGAATAGGGAGAATTTAAAGAAAAGGGAGTCTAGATAACTAACTGTTACTTGAAATACATCCCTCAATCAGCTAGATCAACAGAGTATGGAAGCCTTACAGGTTTGAGGTACGTAAGCATATCTCTGCCAAAATCACTGGCCGACCTCTAAATTATGCAAGTACCATGGCAACTACTAAGAAGTCAAGGTAAAAAATACACATTTAAAAACTCAGTAAGGACATGGATGGCTACACAATGCAGAGGAGAAAGATTCCACATTTAAGCCCATGCAGGTTACTAAAGATAAACCAAAACCCATACTTGATCTATTACAGTACCATAAAGTTTTCAACCAAAAATTGGCAGATTTGAAAAGAAACTGTAAAGTGTGAGCCATATTTTGGGGAAAAATTCATGAAAAACTGACTCTGAATGGTTCAAATGTTAGATTTAGCAGTGACTTCAAAGCAGCTATTAAAAATATGTTTAAAGAATTAAAGAACAATACGTCAATGAGTCAACCAGTAGGGAATCTTAACAGAGAAAATGGAAATCATAAAACAGAGCCAAACTGAAATTCGAAATGTGAAAAGTATAATAACTAAAATGAAAAATTCACTAGATACACTCAACAGCAGATCTGAGACAGGGGAAAGTCAGTAAACATGAAACAATTGTTACCTTGTATCAAGAGGGCTTCAAAAAGTCCATGGAGAAATGAAATTAAAAGATAATGAAAAATTTCCATCAACTTTTTGAAGTCCTCTTACACTATCAAATTTGAAGAACAGAGAACTAAAACATTAAAGATACATAAACAGAACTTCAGTGACTTGTGGGACAACTGCAAACCCTTCAACATTTGTGTAATGGGACCTCCAGACTTAGAGGAAGAGAAAGGAGTAGGGAAATATTTAGAAAAAATAACGGCCCAAAACTTCCCAAATATCAACTTACAGATCCCAGAAACTCAACAAATCCTAAGTAGAATAAACACAAAGAGAACTATGTCTAAATACATCACAGTTAAGCTGCCAAAAGATAAAAGGTAAGGAAACAAAATCATGCAACACACTAATCTGCACAGTTTAGAATACAAATATATGTAGAAAAAGAATAAACAGCACATTAAGTGAATGATAAACACCCAATTCAGGATGGGGCAGAGAAAGAATACTAAAATCAAGGAGGAATACACAGCAAGCTTGAATTGTATTCATAATAGATTTGTTAAATTGGGCATTGGGTTTATATTATAATATTCTCTAAATCTTTGTTTCAATTATTTCATCACCAAAAATGAGATAAGCCTTATATATAGAGAAAAAGGAGGTGTGTGGGAAATTCTGTGATTTTGTTTCATGAAAATGTTTTATAGTCAAGTATGGCTTTACATTTAAAGAAAAACTGTCTTTTAAAGACCATATGCTTCAGAGTTATTAAATACAAGAGTACTTGTGATCCATTTCAATAATTAGTCTGCAATATCATAATGAAAATTTAACTTGCTTCATTTAAAGTTTTTACCTCACAGCTCCAGAGCCATTCCATACTGCTGGACACTGGGAACAATATGGCCATTCTTTTGAATCTAATCTGTTATCAATGGCATCCTAGGGAAGAAAAAGAGTTAACACCATCAAGTTAATTCACATTAATGTGAATTTTAGGACATTATTGTTTTGTTTTATTTTACAAAATGGTCAAAACTTCTATTTCCCATTAGGGAACCTAAAGATATATATAAATGGCTAATACAGTACAAACCTTACTTGCTTCAACAAATTAATATAATCACTGACTTACTAAATTAATATTTATTGGACACCTCTATTTCTTCATTTGGTGGGCCACCACAGCTGTGTGAGGGTTCCAGGCACACAATCAGGAATTTCACCTTTAAAATGGTTGGGTTTTCTAAATACCATCCTAAAGTTCAAAAACAGTACCCACTGCCATATAGCGATCCTATATAGGGTTTCTGAGGCTATAAATCTTTACAGGAGCAGAAAGCCTCATCTTTATCCTGCAGAGGTGGTGGGTTTGACTGGCCAACCTTGCAGGCAACAGTCCAGTGCTTATCCTACAGCACCACCAGGGGTCCTTAAACACTATCCTAGTCCTGGCATAACTCTTGGTGACCAGAGTCCACACCTTGGCCATTCTTCAAAGCAGTGAGCTGTAAGATGAGATGTATATACCTGACTTGGAAGTACTGAAGACAATCTGAGGGGTATAGGAAATTTTCTTTTTCATCTTTAAAATTTCCCTTTTTCTAAATGTTACATTTTATGATGTAAATATAAATGAATATGCTGTATATGCAAATTATGTACATTTTATTAATATATTAACATCAAGGGGCTTCAGATAGTTTGTGAAAAAATTCCATTATTTTTTAATTCCATTCTCCCATTAACTCTTTAAGGAGCTCTGGTAGCACAGTGGTTAGGAGTTGGGCTGCTAACCTAAAGGTCAGCAGTTTGAAATTAACAACCATTCCATGGGAGAAAGATGAGGTTTTCTGCTCCCGTAATGATTTACAGCCTCGGAAACCCTATTCAGGGTCGCTACGAGTCAGAAACAACTCCACCATACACCATCACCACCACCACCAACAACAACTCTTTGAAGCCTGTTTGTATAATTTACAAATAAATGCAGTCATAACCGAGAAGAGGTTCATGCTTTTATTTTTCACTGTTAAGTGTGCAAAATTTGAAATATCTCGAGATCACTGCTTTATGATATTAACAAATGATATTAACAAATGACCCAAGACTATTTACTAACAAATGTTACCCAAGAGTATTTCAATGTGACTACAAGGAAAGGAGGTCTGGTAGTGTTCATTAGGCTGCTAACCACAGGGTCAGCAGTCTGAATCCAGCAGCCATTCTATGGGAGAAAGATGAGCTTTCTGCTCCCATAAACATTTACAGCTTTGGAAACCCTACACAGGGTCGCTGTGAGTTGGAACTGACTCAATTGCACAACCACCAACTACCACCACCACAAGGAAGATACAAAACTTAAGAGAAACCCAGAAGTACTAAGATTTCCACTGAGTAAAATGTGGATTTTCTGAATTCAGTATGCAAATCTTTGTTAAAGGGTTCAAAAAGTCAATTCTTATTTGAAAGTATTAGTCAAGAAAAATTACTTAGTTCTACATTCTTAATGTGGGAAAGGAAAAATATTTTAAGTTATGGAAAACACAAAGTTCTAAATTAAAAAAATATATGATTAAGCGTATGTGAATGATATTAACTTACCAAAGCAAAATACAGAAATATTATAGTAATAAATTGTACCTAATTTTCCCCCAGAAGAAAGCAGAAACTGGGTTTCAGTTAAAAAGAAAAAGTACGAGACTGTGAATCAGGGTCTGTGGTTTGAGCCCAAAAGCTACTCCACAGGAGAAAGATGAAGCTTTCTACTTCCAAAAAGATTTACAGCCTCAAAAACTCTATAAAGGGTCATTATGAGTCAGAACCAACTCCACAGCATTTAATGACAACAATGAAATCTATGATTCTGATGGAAGAATCAGCGTTGTAATTTTGTTGAGCTCATACTATAGTTTTTATTAGTTCATTTTCTAAATGTAAGTTGACTGCTATCTTTAAGATAAAATAGTGTGAGATCATTAATACTCCCATTTCCTAAAACGGAATATTGTCTTCTAAAAGTTAACAGTACTAAAAGTACCAAAATTATGTTGGATCTAATAGCAACATTATGGTCAGGTTTATATTTTAACTGCAAATACATTTTTATGAATACTGGAATCTAACTATTTCTAATAGTGGTACATATAAAAATACTATTTATTCAACTTTTCATGAAAATAATTATTTGTTTATACTATGTTCTTGTTAGGTGCCAATGAGTTGGTACCAACTCATAGCAACTCTATAAACAACAGAACAAAACTACTGCCTGGTCCTGGGCCAATTATTTATGCTATAAATAATCATTTAAAGTTATAGTAGTGCTTTTTTCACAAAACTGCATGTTTTTAATATATCTATGTTTAAGAAGTAAAATTTCTTCTCCTTCCTTGACCCCAAATAGAACCTTCTTTTGTAAGCCCTCCTAGCTCTGCAAAAAATTCCTGCCTAGTAGATAATGTTCAGACTGACAAGTAAAGATAGGGGTGAAGTAAGTATATCATGATTTTTACCTCCATAATATCTTTGATAAAAGGTGTCCATCGAGAAAGCTGAAAAGTTTCTTCTGCAGATCGATCCTTTCTTGATGATCTGACCTGTTGAGACTGGTATGAGAGGATAAACTCTAAAGTCAGTAATTCTTTCAGTGGTCTTCTCTTATAATAATGTAAGTATAATTATAAATCAATTCTAACAAGGAAATTTAGTTTATAGCACTCAATATGTTGTTTCTGACTTCAAACAAAAAACCCAGAGTAGTTTGGTTACATAAATGAACCAAACAGCATTTTGTGCTTTAATGCTAATATTTAATGCTAGTAATAGAAAACAAGCTTACTCAAAGTGCTATAAAACTTCATGGGTGTGAGATTCTACAGAAGAGTAATTTCAAAATTTGACTCAGAATCTAATTTTTTTTAAGCCAGATAACATACAGTTGTTTTTTGTTCTGTATTATAGTTAAAAATACAGGTTAAATGTATAACTAAAATCTGATCTTTGTTATACATTAATCACAAAGAGGAAAGCATAAACAGAAACTTACAATAGAAGCCATAAAATATAAACTGACTAGAAAAGTATGTGTGTCCAAATTACTGACATATGGAAAAAACAAGAAAACAGAATTTTGCTTAACAACCAAAATGTATAGAGTGACATTAACAAGACTGTCCACATAGAGTACCATAAAAGAAAACATATTTAACACAGACAATCACACAAGCATTGAAGTGTAAGTATATACAAATGTAACGTTTCTTACTTGGGGGACAATGGGAACGCCAAGGTAACTCCAGTTACGAATCATGTCACTCTCATTTTCTATCTTTACATTCTGGACCAACCTATCCAAGTTTTCTTCCGTCGTTCCTTAGACAAGTAAAAACATGAATGCACAATCCTGTAATTGCTTAACTGCAATAATTTCTAAATTTTAGCTGGTATCCAAGAGCAAATATAAAAAGTAAACAAATTATATACCCTTCAGTCTTCCAATTTCATATTTTTCCTTTTATTAATCTTAAACACACTCAACTACATCCTTTGAATTTCTAAGTAAACCACATATTTAAATTTTATTTTAGTTTGATCTTTTAGTACATTCATGTAAATAAAACAAAATTTCCATTACCATTAATACCGAAGATATAAAGTAGAATTGCTCTTATTTTGTCGTAATTGTCATGGTTTTTGTTGAGCAGAACTGGAAGGAGTACTCGCATAGAATCTTTCACCTTCTGTCCTTCTGCATCAGTTCCAAGTGCCAGGTCCTTCATGAAAATAAAATGTAGTCAAGTGTCTATAATCTAAGTTCATTTTAAAACTTAGTTTATTATTAAATCTTGCAAAAATTAAATGAATGCTAATGACGTTTCAAAGGAAAATGTGATCAACATTTTCTTTTGTAAAACTTTTATTGTGACTTGAGTGATAGTTTACATGGGAAAACATCGGTCTCGTACTTAACCTATTGCAGTTTGTTTCATTGTAATGATTATAATTCCCTCCATGCATCATCGATTAACAGCATTTGCTTCTATTCCGTTTTTAAAATTTTGATGTACACAGAAATATGCAGGAATATAACATTGTTTAAGGAGCTCTGGTAGCGTAGTGGTTACAAATCGGGCTGTGAACTGCAAGGTCAGCAGTTCGAAACTACCAGCTGTTCCGTGGGAGAAAGATGAGGTGTTCTGCTCCCGAAAAGATTTACAGCCTTGGAAACCCTGTACAGGGTCGCTATGAGTCAGTACCAACTCGATGGCACCTAACACCACCAACTAGTGAAGTAAAATATATGATAATAGCCCAAGAAGGAGGTAAATGC